GGTTCGGGTTTTTAGGTTATAATAAAAAAATTTTCCTGAAATAGATTATGGTGGATATATTATTTATTATCCTTATTTATTCCAAATGGTCTGGATATCAGATCTGCCCATGTTATTGTCCCCTTTTTTATTTTCACCTCCTTTTGTAGATTTAATTTTTAAATGAAGTAATTTATAAATATTTCCTTAATCCTCGGTTGGCTTCAAAACCTCTTAATTATTATTCACTTTATTAATAAAAAGTTTTTTATTTTTGACAAACAAATTTAATTAAACAAATTTACTCAATGGCCTCTTAAAAAGTCGATTAAAGACATTCAATCAATTTTTTATATCCTACATTGACAGTCTTTATAAATGGCTAGAGAAAAAATTTATAAATTTTTTTATTGAATTTTTAATTTAAAAAAGCTGCCATGTTGCCCTAATTTTAATGAGGAAGTATTCAATTTAAAAAATGCCCACAAGGGATCCAGCAGACCCAACTACCCTCAAAACCTGTTTTCATCAATATACACTGGCTTCCAGGTTACCGGGCCCGAAAAACCCGGTCCCGGCCCAGTGTCGAACCCTAATATAGATAATCTTCCTAATCCACCTAGGTTATTAATAAAACAGGGTTACGATATCCCTCTTAATCCAACAAAACTCCTCGATTGGAATATTACTCATTGATTTTCTATTCGGAGCTAGGAGCCAGGCAAATTAGGATAAAACACAACCCTTCTAACCAACATTAGTTGATGTGAGGGAAAATAGTTTTGTAATGGTTTGAGAGAAATTCAACTACATTTCAAAAATTATTGAGAAATTTTCTGGATAGACAAGACTAGACAAAAAAAACTAAATAAAAACAAAGTTAAATGGGAATGGGCAAAATAAATTATGAAATGTCTATAAGGGTTGTGGGATCATTTATAATTAAATAATTATCTCTCCGATGCTCTTTGGCTATTTACTAATACTGTTATTTAACTCTTTAAAAATTATAAAAATCCTCTATAAGCTTATCCAATCCATTCGAGGATTAAGACATTTTGGAGATTTTTGAAGGCCAATAAGTCAGAGTTAAAAGAAATTTTTTTTATTTTCTTAAGCATTTCTTAACTTATTAAAACTCTACGATTTTTAAACGTCTTCATTCGATTCCCTCGGGATTAAAATTTATTTTCTCTGCAATCCTGCTGTCTCTTTTTTTACAACAATCCCTAACATGGGATGTGTATAATGGGAGTGGCATTGTAATGCTCGTCGAGTATTTTATCTCCTCCTCTTTCTAACGCTTTTATTTTTCTAACACTCCTTACCTACTATTCATTTAATTAAAATTAAAAAAAATTTTTTTTAAACAGCCTTGAATATTTTTAAAAAAATAAAAGAAAATTCAAAGGAGAAAAAAACGACATGAGAGGCAAAGCAAAAATGCTTCTTTTGCCTTTCAATCTTGTTTGCCTTGCTTTGATTCTGGCTTCAATTTTTGATAAAAATGTTGCTATAAATGAACCTAGGTTGATGGCAACAATACAACAAAATCTTATTTATGCATTGTTCCCAGCCGATAAATTCTATCTAACTCGATACAATTTCAATGAAGGTAATATGCTTATTATTTCTTAAGCAGAAAATTTAACTCAGATTATCACTATAAGATTTTGGATTTTATCTGCAGTTTTTACTAAAGTGGACCCTAACTTTATCAACTCTGAGCAGAGGTGGCTTTGACTGTTCCATTCAGAGGTGTCGGAAATCGGAACAGCCGGAAACCGGAACTGGCTCAAAAGTCTAAAATCGGAAATCAAGATTTTTTTTCGTAATCGGAAAGAAAGAAACGCCGGAGATCGGAATTCCGACCCCTTGAGACCCCAATTTTCTATTATAACCGGAGGAATAATAGGTGGAGTTAGAAACATTTACCTATGGCTAGAAATCTTTTAATTACTTCTTTGATTATAAGTTCAGAATTTGGAACATCGAAATCATAAGTATACCCGAGAAGTCCTCAATTATCAAGTTTTAACAAACAAATTTAAATTAAATTATGTCCACGAGTCAAACATTCATTTCAATGGCTTCACAAGGAAGTGATTCACATGTTAGCCTGTTAAGGACATTCAATCTTAATTATTGTCAGACACTCTAATAAATAGCTAGAGAAAAATATTTTAGAGCGCGCTATCGCTTAAGAGTCGCGTTGTGTCTTGCAATAGAAAATAACATTCAAACGAGAAAGGAAGCAATCGCGCGAGATTTTCTCTTCATTTTCAATTGTCTTTTTTACAAGACGCGCGCGTTTATTAAGTAAGCATAGCATTATTAAATTAAGGAGGATAAAGTTTATCCGGTTAAGAAAGTAATGATAACATTATCTCGGTATCTCTGCTTATGGAGAGCATTATGTAGATGCATCATTTATATAGAAAGAAATCTGCTTCAGGATTCAGGAGAATTTGTTGAAGAAAACCCAGCACTACATCATAGGAGAATCCAAAGGATATGATCCTTTGAGAAGGAGAGGATCCCTTGAGGAGAGAATCCCTTGAGAAGGAGAGAATCCCTTGAGGAGAGAATCCCTTGAGAAGGGAAAATCCCTTGAGAAGGAGAGGATCCCTTGAGTAGAGAATCCCGTGAGAAGGAGAAAATCCTCTGAGAAGGAGAGGATCCCTTGAGAAGGAGAGGATCACTTGAGATTTTAAGTTCATAAATTATCAAAAAAATTTTTTAAGTGAATGGCTTCGAAGAGTGGCGCCTCGAACAATTAGTTATCATTGCCGATATAGATAACACCGGAAAACCTCGAGGGAGTACACAATCGAACGATGCACTTATTCATGATGAATGGATTTATATTGAAAACCCAAAAAATATAAAGCCCAAGTACTATTTTCAACAAATCAAAGAAACAGAAAAAAGGGAAATTTATAAGACGAATTTAGAGAAGCTTAAAAATAGTGTTGGAGTGTTTAAAATGGCTGTGGACGGTATTATAACTAAAATTAAAAAATTCAAGAGTGGGCACAATTTACTCAAAAATAAATTATGTACACCCGAAGAGGTTAAAAATTGTTTGAAAAATGGTGGGGATGAGGAAAAAAATCAAATTGACCTTGAAAAGGCTGCTCGACCTGAAGAGACCCCCGAGAAAAACAAAAATGCCAAAAAAGGAATCAAACGAACTCTTCAGAAATTATGCGTATGTTTCGGAGAACCTTCTACCTCTCATGATAAATATCCTTCTGCTGAGGATGAACATTCCCTTCCTCCACCGAAGCAGTCAAAAAACATCCAAACAGATGTACAATACAAAGAATTAATTAATTTAGTGATTGACTGTAAAGTGTTTATTAGAGATTTACATTCTGAGGGGGGAGAAGGCTCTTTGATTGATATATTCTCTTTTATGGAAAATCATTCTGAAATGAAGGATTTAAAAAAAATTCTTGAATTAACAAAAATACAAACTGAAAAATTGGATCAAGCTATTTTTAAAAGAATTTATGAGGAACACAAAAAAGAATCCAAGTCTAAACGAGCAATAGTGCAGGGGGCTGGTCCAGTCGGTTTATATGCTACCTACAAACTTTTTATGGGTAATTTGAATTGTTTTAAAATTGTTTTTTAAATAAACGAATAAGTTTGAATGATGTAGTTTGTTAGAGTACGTCGAGTACCGAGTAATTGGGAAAAAACCGACTCGGGTTACACGAGTCGGTCGAATAAGTATAAGGATATTAGGACCCCCCTAGTATTAGGATCCCGTTAGACCCAGTAAGGATGAAAGTTCCCGGTGCCGTTGAGCCTGATTTGGAATGATTTACCAAACATTTGAAATAATACAATAAGGGTTTGCTATTAGTCTAGGACAGCAGCTCCTACTAAAATGGTGTGGATCGAGAAAATATTGAAATTAAATAATTTTTAGAAGGAGTTAATGTAACACTTGTAAATGACCGTTCCGAGAAGTATATAAGAAACCGAGTTGTCTTTTTTGACCGAAAATGGATGTCACAATTACGTTTCTTTTTGGGTACTGAATTTGATAAATTATTCATTGACAATGAAAATGGAGAAAAATCATTGGGAATGATTCTTGATGAAGATATTGGGTTTGTTAACATTAAACATATGGAAACTTTTTTGAAGGAACGGTTAAAAAATTTATCAAAATATATAAATGAGAAAGAAAAGGCAAGAATAGATCAGGCAATTCAACATGAAATCACTGAAGAAATCCAACAAGACAATCAACAAGGAAAATCATTTTTGAATTTGATTTATAATACAGCAGTTTTGGACATAAATACAAACAATGAAAAGCCTTTGGCCATCTTAGGCGCTCCAGAAAAGCGTCTTGAATCCTTTGATTATGGTCATTTAAAGCAAATATTAACAAATTATAAAGGAATGATTGAATTAGGTGAAACAATAGGAATTCCTTTTGATTTGTTTTTCTGTGCTGGTGGTGCAAGAGACCAAATACGCACAAAATTTATAGGTTAGAGTTATTTTATAAAATGATGGGGATTTGCGGCAAAAATTATTTAATTCTAAGGGTTCATATTTAATATTAAGGGTTCATGCTTTTATGTCTTATTTTCTTACTTTTTTGTCTTATTCACCAATTGACAAAATTTTAATAGGAATATGAATGAAAAATTAACGATCTGATTTTTCAGAAAAAGAAAATCATAACCCAAAAACGGCTAAATCCCTGAAAATCTCCTATATATTCCTGACCCGATATATCCCTGATATACCCTGATATGTAGCTCTGCTATAGAATTAAAGAAAGGAAATTGATAGGATAACTTTGCCAAAAAAATAAAAAAAATAAAATAGTCCATAAAATAGTCCATTCCCATTAAAAAATATTAACGAAATTTTAAATTTTAGAAGAGCCAAAACAGCTAACACAATCCATAAACTACGGAGTTGCAATTTTTGACAAGGTCAAACATGATGTGAAAGTTTTTACAGACAATGCAACCTTCTATCGCAATCCGATGAAAGGCATGCGATCTCATTTAAAAAGACAAAAGATAGACGAATTGATAAGTGAAGCTGATTTCATTTCTGAACAACTAAAAAAACGTTATGCCAACATAAATAAATTAATCATTCATGGAATGGTAGAGGTTAAATCTCCTATAAAAGCAGGCGAGGAAAAAACTTTTGTGGAAACAGGCAAAAGATACTCTGTAAACCCTAAAGGAAATATTATATCGAAAAAATTTTCTGACGAACAAATTGTTGTTCGTCTCTTTGAATCAAATCCGACATTACATATTGCATCTATAACACCTTTAGCACTTGTAGAATTTATTGAAGAATTAAAAATTGAAAGAAATTTAAAGGAAAATTCAAATAAAATTAAAAAATTTGACGATTTACATGATAAATTGCAAAAAAGATGGGCTAAAGCTCTTTTTGATTATACATTTTCTGTTAGACATCCTGAGAGATTTGGACAAGTAGTTATTGAAGGTGCTGAGTATACGAGTTCACGTACATTTTATAAAGGCAAAAAGATATTCCAAATACAGCAAACTCTTAAATACGACCCTCACAGTGCTAATACAAGCACTTTTTATGTTGGGATTTATGGAGTTGAAAATTCTGTAAGAAAAATTAGTGGGACAAAAGATTCAGCAATTATTGCAGCTATAGGGGATGCAAATACAAGTGCTCATTTTATGACATCTAGTGGGACTAGTACAGGCAAGTTTTTATTTTGAGACTTCTTTCGGTCAGTAAAGCATTTGAGTGTGGGTAATCCCCTAATACTAATTGCCAGGAAGTTACAAGTCGATTCCTACTTGTTGGGATTTATTCTTACTTCCCCGGTAAACAAGGAGGATATTTGGTGGATTAACAGGGATTTAGAGGTATTAGGAAGGATATCGGTTGAATAGAAGAAGCATTATTTGTCGAAAATATTTTACAAAATTTTATTAAGGTCGGTTTGGAGTCGAAAGAGCAGTTAATGCAATTAAACAATACTATCAAAACCCACACCATCAAAATTTACTTGAACTGATGAATTCTGCGTTGAAAAAAGTGAGAAGACGTGTGCTCGAGAAAGCAAAAGAGTATGTAAAAATACTTGATGGCATAAAAGTAGATCTAGACGATTAACAAAGCGAAGAAGAGGGGAGTAAAAACATATTTTACGTATTTTGGGTATTTAAAAAGACATTTTGTTTATTTTTTCGGTTTTTGGGTATTTTTGAATTTTATGAACCAACATTCTTTAGACTGTAATTGTAAAAAAAATGGTTGGAAATTGGAGATAGGATATCAATTCCGAATATTATAAAGGAAAAGAGAAGCCAGTCGTCGGGCCGATAGCTCATGGGAGAGCACCTGCAAAGGTGTAAACGGGACCACGCGATTACACATTCGACTCCTCCCATTACTAAACTTCGCTACCCTGCTTTAGATACGAGTGGTGTTGGGACCTAATTCTAAATCAAGACAATCTTGTTTTTGGCGCAGGGTCTTAATCCTGAGAGCTTGGGAAATTTTTTTGTCTTGAAAATCTTAACCGACTAGTATGTGCTGTTATTCTTAGATTGAAATAATTTTAAAGGATTACTTAACAAGGTATTGGAAATTAGGTTCATAAAATTCAAGAATTTCTATTTTTATTTTAAAACAAAGTTATTCTGTTTCAATGTACATAGATTAATGCTGCAACACACGCATTTTATTTTTCAACATTTTTAACCGTTAAGAGATCCACATTATTTACTCTTTTGAATTGTTTTCTTATTTTTTTAAGTTGCATAAATTGAAATTGTCCTTTATTTTAATCTTCTTTGTGTTTGATAAAAAAAGATTCCCCCAAGTGTCTAAGCCGATAAAATTAGAAAATTATTTTAGTTTTTAAAAGAATTTACCTTTAATGAATAAAAACCAACTACATTCATGTTACAAAAACTCTTCATAGTTAAATTAATTTTTTTATTCTCTAGAAGAAATGGGTACTTTTCCGTTAATCGACCGCAAACTGAGTAACAGCCAAATTTTAACAGCTATAAATTTTTAAAGCTTGATCCAATACAAATGAATTTTATATCATTCGAAAGCCTCTCATAAAAAAGTTATACCCCCGATAATAGTCTCTCAACTTTCCCTCTCAACTTTTCAAAATGTTAGCTTACGGCGTTAAAAACTGGAGAAATTAGGCTCAGTGGAATTTAAAAATTTCCAAAAATCCTCACCTGCGGCCCTGAATAAGGCACCTCATCATAAGAAGATATGGCGAGGTAATGGGGAGGTATCAGACTTTTTGAGGTGGTATTCTTGGCAAGCCTTCAAGTAGAGTTGATTCGAGGGATTATCAGGGATCTAGAAGAACATCTAGGTCTAAGAGGATTGGAGGTGGAATTTGGGATGATCAAGTGGGTCTGGACGAAGAACGAGAGTTGAAAAAATGAGTTTGAAAAATTGGCGAAGTCCACTTCGACACCGACCAGCTCTTATTAAGATAGAGATGAGGAATAATCATAAGGGCAAATAATCATTCATAAGTGAATATAACAGAAAAAGGGCAATTAAAAAGCCAAGAAATGAGCCAAGAAAAAGCCAAAAATTAAGCTAAGAAAAAGCCAAAAATTAAGCTAAGAAACGGCTAAGATAAAGCCAAAAAAGAGCCAAGACTATTAATAAAGGACAAATAATCATACGATTATCGGGATTAGGACAATAAATAAATTCGAAATTTTGAAATTATTTTTTATTTTAATTGTTTTAAGCATAATTAAATTATAGAGATATGATGCAAAAATAGGATATTTTGCAAGAGTTCCGCTTATTTAAACATAAAAAACTTATATAAACATATACAGGGTGCGTAAAAAGTCCTTGCCCACACTTTTTTTGGCATAAAAATTTAATCATGAGGAATTTTGCCAAATAAATTCACACATACAATCACAAGAATGTGTGTTAATAGAAAATTAAAAAAGATTTGCAAAATTTGAAAAATTTGCGAAAATACAAGCATCTAAACACTTCTGGAAATTGACTACGATGGTCGCACAGTCATTTCACTTTTTTGGGCCCGGGCACGCTTTATTGAAGTTTTCAGATTCTCAATAATTTTTTATCTTTTTCGTCTAATCATTTGCTACAAAAGTGTCCAAACATAAATTTCCAAAGTATTAAGATAAGGTGACTTTGAAGGCCAAATAAAAGCAACCTAAAAACGAGATTGATTAAATTTTTATGCCAAAAAGAGTGTGGGCAAGGACTTTCTACGCACCCTGTAATCACCAAGCAGTGTGCTAAATTAGGCTTTATAAACATACAAGATAGTAGCAAAAGAGGAAGATAAAATAGAAAATAAGTTTCCCAGCCAATTGTTAAACTAAACTATTTCTCTTGCTCTTAGAGCAAGAGAATGCACTTTGGAGCGATCCGCGACAAAATTAATTTGTTTTATAATGTTTTAACAAGCTATATCATCCGATAGAGCTCAGCGAGCCAAGAAAAAGCTCAACGAGCTAAAATTTGTCCTTAGAAAGGACTTTGGCTCGATATAGACTCAGGAAATCGATGCTATTTTATTTAACTATTATTTAATAGGGCAATTTAGAGATAGCATTGAGAGTAAAATATAGATATTATAAAAGTCGGCATTTATTTACCTATCCACATTCAATTTAACTGAATATAACCTATTTAAAAAAATTTTTTTAATTAAAAAATCTTCATTAAAAGGATTAGAAACAAAAGTTTCTATTGAGAATCCTTGTGGTAAGAGAGAATGCGAGGCAAAACAAATTTGTGGATAATTTTTGTCTTGATTTTCGCTTTAAAGTTTGATGTTGGCGAAGCAGCAAAAAACTTCGATAAAGGTATAAATATTTAAAACCACACACGCTGTTCAGAAACTATGTTTTTCTGAAAGCAATCTAATATAGATTTTATAATTGGAGTCATTTGTTGTTTTAGAAAAATTTTTATTATTTTGTATAGATGGAGTGTTAAAAGAAAGTCGCATTAAACGATTAAAACAAATTGCTGAGATAGATAATTCAACTGGAATGCCTCGAGGTGGTTTATACTCAAATGATGCTGTTAAATTCGAGGAATATATAAATCTTGAAGAACATGAGGAGTATAAAACCCTTTTCGAAACATTTAATAAAGCTTTTGTCAGACTTGTAACTAAAGTTGCCGAATTTGCTCAACTAAATTTAAAAAATATTAACATATCTCTTGATGCAACAGAAGATATTGCTAATGAATTAAAAAAATATGATGAAATTGTCAAAAAGAGAAATATTGATGAGATGTTAGAAGAAAAGGTAATGTTTAGAACTGCAAATAGATGGCAAAAAAAATTTGTATGTAATTCGTAAATGCCCTATTGAAATTTGTAAAGACTTCCAACCCGTGATATACATATATACTGTATTTATTCTAACTGAATAGTCTTATTTATTTTCAATACCGTCATTCAATTGGCCATTTAGTTATAAATTTCAAGGAATCTTCTACTTCGTCTAATAGAGAAAGCTGCATGGAATTGATAAATATAATAATAAATTGCAAGACTTTCATGATAGATTTGCATTCAAAAGGTTCAGAAGGCTCTTTGATTGATATTTACTCTTTTATGGAAAAAGCATCCTCGTTAAACTACAAGGAATCGTTGTTTAATTTTACCGCCTTAAATGTGCTGAAATTTTTATTTAATTTATCGAAAATACAAAGCAAAGAAATGGATAAAGCTATTATTGTAAAAATCTACAATCATCATTTGGAAAATAAAAGAATGAGAAAAGAATATAAAAATGTAATTGTGGAGGGTGATGGTCCAGTTGGTTTATATGCTGCCTTCGAACTCTTTATGGGTAATTCTAATTATTTTTGAAAAAATTTAATTATTTCTAGAGGGAATGAATGCAACTCTTGTAAATAATCGTCCTGAAGATTACACACGAAATCGATTTATCTTTTTTGATCCAAAATGGATGCCAAAATTACGTTTCTTTTTGGGTTCTGGATTTGATAAATTATCTTTTGGTAATAAAAAGAGAAAGAGAACATTGGGAAGAATTCCTACTAAAGAAGATGTGTTAAAAATAAAAAATATGGAAAATGTTTTGAAGGAACGAGTAAAAAATTTATCAAATTATATAAATGAAAAAGAAGGAAATCAAAAAGGAAAATCATTTTTGAATTTGATCTATAATACAGCAGTTTTGGACATAAATACTGAAGATGAAAAGCCTTTGGTCATCCTTGGTGCTCCAATGAATCGTCCTCAATCCTTTGATTATGCTCATTTAAAGCAAATATTAACGAAGTATGAAGGGATGACAATTTTCGAATCAAATGAAAATATAGGAATTCCTTTTGATTTGATTTTTTGTGATTTTATTAAACAAATTAAATATGATTCTGTTATTCTCAATAAAAAGCAAAACAAAAAAATTTTCAAAGAAAATCATCAGAAAATGTCTTTTAAAATTCATTCGATGGATAGCAGTTTATTAGTCAATTTTGATCATTTGACTAAAAAATCATTTTTCATTACTCAAAATATTAGAAATCGTTATTATTATATATTTCAGATGATTTACTATGGTATGGAAGAAATAAAAGCTAATACTCAAATTCCTTTGACTAGAACAGGCAAAGTTTATAAGACAACCTCTGATGGAAAATTGGATTTTAGAGATCCTTACAAGAATGGTGAATTTATTTCTGTCCAAATATTTGA